ATGTTTCTAGACTCCTTCCGTGTTCCTGTAAATAGCAACATAAGCTATTTGATAGCGAGCAGGTACTAATCAATCAACAAGTTAGCTATATTCTAAGAATAAGAAAGGTGGAATTGGAACATTCCTACACAGAAATGTTTAAATGCCTGAGTGATGGACACCCCAATTACCCTGATTTGATTAATTCACTTGTATGACCTATATCAAATCAATGCGCCTATAAGATATACAAATTATGTAACATATTAAAATAAAAATTAAAATCACTAAAAAAATAGCACATAGAGTGCGTCAACTAGTTTCCATTTCCTAATTCCTGCTGAATTCTTGCAGTTGTGCTTTTGGGCGACACCATGGGACAGTCCTGCCGTGGCGGGGGGTAATTCTCTCCTGTTTTCACAGGCTCGTCAGGGTTTTAGTCCTTGAGAACATCAGACTAAATTAATTGTACACCTGCCAGATGCAGGCAGCACTGGGCACTATCGACATTCTTCAATTAATATTACAGTATCTTTTTCAATCATTTCACAGCAGGAACTCCTGATGGGGATTGCTACCAGTAACTCCCTCATCTGGTCTCTTGGCCTCACCCACTCCATCCATTCTTGTCACACGGGCAGGGTCAGTTTGGAACTTGAAGTCAGGTTGGGTCAGGCCTCTTCCCTCTTACTGTCTGTCTTCTCAGCTCAGTTTATCTTCTATAAAGTGGGCTAATGGTGGTCCCCATCCCTGTGCAGATGAAATGAGACATGCACTTGCAGCATTGCCAATTCAGAGCAAGTACCCAATAGATAGTATGCTTATTTATGGTTTGTATTAGTCAAGAAGGCTAATTGGCTGTAACAATAACCCAACATTGCAAGGCCTCAGCATAAGAAAAATTGCTTCATTGTCACAAAATAGGCATAGCATGCTCTTCTCCAGATGGTGACTTGGGGACCAGGCCATCCATCTTGGAGCTCTCCCTTCTAGGTCCTCGGTTCTCCACCAAATGGTGAAAGAGACAATGTGGAGGCTGTGCAGGAGATTATTATGGGATGGGCCTAGCACTGGTGAAATATCCATACCTCCTATTTGCTGGTCTAGAACATAGTCCATGGCTTCACCTAACTGCAATTGATTCAGGGAGTGCAGTTCTACTGTGTGCCCAGGAGAACGAAGGCATTTTATGAATACTGTGCAATTTCTTGTGCACAGTAGTTATTGCCAAGGACTGTAATATATCGAGTTTTCCTGACTTCAAACTGTTCAGTATCTCTCATGGTTCAGATAAAAACTCCTCCTTCGCTGGCCGTGAAGTCTAGCCCAATTCATCTCATAAACCAAACACATTCTCAGATGGACCACGTGCCCTCACCTGCCCCTGTCCCATACTGTTCTGTCTGTTTGGAGTCTTGTTTGCCCTCTTGGCAACTTCTACTCCTCATTGAAATCTCAGATCAGATATCTGATCTCCTCCCTGACTCCTGCTCAACTAGATGTTAGTCCTCTAGACAAGTCCTCCCTTGCTAGGAGCAAGGTGGGATTCCATAGCTCCAAAACCAGGCTCTGCGGAAAATATGAATGTCATTCAGCGCAAAACAACGTATTTTCACTGCATGAGAATTTTTGCATGGCCTAATGTCCTCATAACAATGTATCTGCGTTCCCCCAAACCACTATAAAGCCAGTGGGCTAAGAGATAGTGTCTTCCTAAGAATATCTTTGGCTGGCAAACTTCTCCATCTTCAGTTCCAGGTCTAGTTGAACTTGACCAAGGCATATTTTTTATCCCTGTTTGGATGGCAACAGTTTAATTGTCTCTGCATCTATAGGCACTGTCTGACATCCACCACACAGTGCAGATGGAGAATGAAAGCAGGTCACATTTTACCCTTCTTCTTCCGTACATTGATGGCCGCAACGTCATGCAAAATGTGATGCTGGTGCCATGACAGCCATCTGAGACCATGAGGTACAACTTGCCAAAGGGTGGATCCTGAGGATATACCAAGCCCAGACCAACTCTAAGCCCACTGCTCTACACTTCTGTTAAATTAACCTACAGTTTTCCAGATTGTGTGCAGGGCACCCAGGGAGCCACAGTGACTCACAGAGGGGCTATGGATATTTAAATTTCAAGAGAAACACAGTGATGCTCAATATTGTCAGAGATCATCTACTGCTCAAGTATATACTGTTTAATATTAGATGGCCTACATTCCTTTCATGACTTTAGATCTTTGCAATGCTGGTTTTACAGCAGTTGCCTTGATAACACGCAGTACTCGAAAAACCACATGGAAGAGGAATGAGGGTGGCAGTATCCATCTGATTCCAAGGCCTGTGAATTGTGCAGTGCCCAAGGCACACATGTTCCATGGTAAATAATTGCAGAGTTAAGAAATGACAGTTATTTAAGAACTCAAACCAAATTGAGCTATTTAATTTAGTTTTAGATGAAGGGGGGCGCGGTGGCTCACGCCTGTAATCCTAGCTCTTGGGAGGCCGAGGCGGGGGATTGCTCAAGGGGAAGTTCAAAACCAGCCTGAGCAAGAGCGAGACCCGTCTCTACTATAAATAGAAAGAAATAATTGGCCAACTGATATATATATATAAAATTAGGGATGGTGGCTCATGCCTATAGTCCAGCTACTCGGGAGGCTGAGGCAGAAGGATCGCTCGAGCCCAGGAGTTTGAGGTTGCTGTGAGCGTAGGCTGACGCAGGCACTCACTCTAGCCTGGACAACAAAGCGAGACTCTGTCTCAAAAAAAAAAAAAAAAAAAAAAACAAAGAATGAAATAAAAATATAATAAATGTGATATTTTTTAATGTATGTGTACTATCAGTGTATGAGTATTATTCAATGTAGATATATTACTGTGTGTATGGACAGTGTGTATTATTTTTATATATGTACATGTATTTTTTTTTCAAATGACAAATAAATTATTAGAACATAAGCACTTTTTAAGTTTTTTGAACCTAGCTATTTAATAAACAGAACAATTTTTTATTCATTTTGGCCCATGTCTGGAGTGAACCAAGAAAGTTTAGGGGCCTCAGAAATAAACACTGTGTCTTTCTATTCCAGTACTTGCAGGAGAGATGTTTCTAGCTGATACATCATCCCCAGCCTTCCAGAGATACTGGACTTTCAGTTAATAATTTCTTCTTGAAACTGCCACCATTTATAATGCAGATGCTTGATCGTTTGGGCTAATCCTGAGATGTGTGCTTTGTGGACAATCACAGAAACTTAAAGGAAACCTCCCATCTCTTCTGAAACTGTGGCTTTTTGTCTGTCAAAGAAGCTCTGTAATTATTTTCAGTGTATGCTCACTTGGAACTCAGGGCATTTTAGCTGTTGGACGTGAGTCTAGTTTTCACCATTCTGTCTGCTCAAATTGCAGGATGAGTTTGAACCCAAGCAGCTTCCTTCCTCGTGGAAGTCAGGGGACATAGAGACTTTTGAGGTATTGTCCCCTCTGTTTCTTGGTGAGGATGCTGGCTACATGGGTGAGTTTACTTTGTGTAATTCATAGAACTGTTACAAGTTGTGTATTTTTAGGAGTGTATGTTATACTTGAGTAAGAAGATAAATAAAATTGATCTGTTCTTAGGAAGTTACCTGGTGGGCATCATCAAGAGGAAATCTGTAGGCCCGGCGTGGTGGCTCACGCCTGTAATCCTAGCTCTCTGGGAGGCCGAGGCGGGCGGATTGCTCAAGGTCAGGAGTTCAAAACCAGCCTGAGCAAGAGCGAGACCCCGTCTCTACTATAAATAGAAAGAAATTAATTGGCCACTGATATGTGTAATAAAAATTAGCCGGGCATGGTGGCGCATGCCTGTAGTCCCAGCTAATTGGGAGTGAGGCAGAAGGATCGCTGAGCCAGGAGTTTGAGGTTGCTGTGAGCCAGGCTGACGCCACGGCACTCACTCTAGCCTGGACAACAAAGCGAGACTCTGTCTCAAAAAAAAAAAAAAAAAAGAGGAAATCTGTAGGTGAATCTGTGGCACCTAAGAAGAGGATACTGAATTCAATCTCCATGCTGTCAGCTAGACATTTTGTACCCATAATATAATATAAAAACATGCCTTAGATTGCCCTTAAAATCCAGAGCCTTACTATGAACTTTATTATTCCAGAATTAAAGTTGTTAGCAATAACTATTGTTATTGAATAGCAATAACATAAAGGTTACAACCCGTAATGCTAACTCATGCCTTGTACTGAGCATTCACAAGCACATCCTACTTAACCTCATGACATTGTCCTACTTACTCCCTCATGACAATCCTAAGTAGTTATTGTTCCATTTTGCAGACAGGAAATGAAGTTCAAAGACTTAGCGATCAATAAAGGCCATATATAATTAGGGTCTGAATCGATTTGCTAAATCTAAAGACTATGCTTTTAAGAGGTAAACTACCTAAAACAGAAACCCAAATATTTTTGGAGTGACTCTTTAGTTCTATTTCATTTGTGCAATGGACTTTTGGATGAGGAATATTGCCCTGGGACGAGTTAGGAACCGGGGGGGTTAGTTTAAAGGCAAGCAAAGTGGAGAACATACAGAAGTTAATTCAGGAATTTCTCAAGAATAGTAATCATATTCATCCTGAATCCGCAGTCATTGCTTAGTGAGATGTTTGTAGAATGAAGGAACAAATGAATGAGTGAGTGAATAATAATAATAATAATAAGACCCCATTACAACTATCTTAACTCCAAAGCCAAAAATGGGCTCAGGAAGAAGATGCCAAGTCCGAAATTTGCTTCACAGTCTGCAGGGAAGGGCTGTGTCAAACGGGAACAGAACAGGATAGATTTGGGAGGACCGAGCCCCACAGAATGTTTCCCTCCTCAGTAGGAAAGGGTCCACCAAGTTCTACAGGCATAAACAAGCCAAGAGTTGGGCCTTTCTCCACTGCCCACCATCTCCCCACCGACACACACACACCTCCAGCCGTCCCATCAGAGCTGAAGCCTCCGGCCCAGTCCCCGGGGGTCACCCACCTTGGCCAGGGCAGCCCCGATCAGCCCCCCGAACAGCTGGGAGATCCAGTAGGGAACGAGCATCATCAGGGTGAGGCCTCCACTCAGCATGGCCGCCAGGGACACCGCAGGGTTAAAGTGTCCCCCACTGTAACCCACAAGAGCAGAAGGAAGTCATGAGGCTACGGTCCAGGACCAACCACAACTCTGTCACCTGAGAGAATGTGTCCCAGCCAGCCCCCCAGGATGAGCTTGCAGGGCTAGAGTCAGTCTAGGGTCCAGCCCAGATAGGAAGAGGCACCAGATGGCTCCCATTTTCCCTGAGGTGTCAGATGATGGGGCGACAGACACGGGGAGCTAAGGGAAGGGGAGTGCAGCCCCTAAGCCTAAGCCCAGACCTTAAGGTGGCCTCAGAGGAAGAACTGTCCTTTAAGACTGTCCCTTAATTCCCTCCCGAGTGCCTCAGAGCTCCCTCCCCCCTCCAGAGAGGTGGCCGCAGGTCAGACTGAGACTCCAGGCTCCAAGTTAGTAGCCCAAGAGTCATGTCCTGTCCTCCCCTTATTGGTAGCGAGGCCAGAATAAGAGCTCTGGATGTAACTGCTCAGCCAAGAAATCCCCACTTAAGTTCTGAGTGTGAGGAGTGAAACTCGGAGGTTAGGTTGGAAATGGAGTTGAGAATTGGGGGTTGGGGTGGGGTGGGGGGTCCTGATCAGGTCAAGGATTGGGAGTTTGGGATGAGCGTCAGAGCTAGACGAGTCAGAACCTAGGGTCCGAGGGCAGCTTCCAGTTGGCTGCCCCTACCTTGCTGGTGGGTAAAGAGCTTCCTGTTCATCGAGATGCCCTACCAGCCCTGGCCCCAGAGCCAGGAGGCCCCCAAGCCCCTGCATCCCCATTGGTGTTGGTATCCCGTTCAGCCCCACTCTGATGGAGGGACTGTTCTCAGAGGTTGGCCCATTACATCCCTTTGGTCCCCGGTAATGGATACGAGGGAAAGTGACCCCATGACCCCCAACATCACAAGAGCCAAAGTGCCTCCAGATGTTAAGAGCCCAATAGTGAGCCTGCCCACCCCCAATGGACACAAGGCATTGAGCTGAGACTGGACAGAGGACCTTGGCTTTGGACAAAAGGACTTTGTCCAACACCCTGATACTTCTTGACCAGCTGCCCCCAGCTTGTCTGGCTCAGTTCTCTGCCCAGGCCCTCAGGTGAGCCTCCTGCATGATATGAAAGCACTAGCCGGTGCTCAGTCTCCAAAAGTCAGGATAAGGGGCCACCAGGCCCTCCTGGCCTCAGGTAGCTCAGCCTGGGCTTTGCCAAAGTAAACAGGATGCTTTGGCTTCCCAGGGGCAGGGGGTGGCTTCTCAGGGATCCTGCAGAGCTAGAACCCCTTAGGCCATTGGCCTCTACTCCACCATCCCATGGGAGAGGCTGTTATTGAGCACGGCTCCAACAGGAGAGGGCTGGATGCCCTGAGGACACATATTCCATAGACCAACAGTCAAAATACTTTGTTCATTCATTCGTTGCTCACTCAGCAAATATTTATTGAACACTATGCGCCAGGTGCTGTGCTGGGGCACTTACACACCCTAACTTGGATCCATTCGACAACCTCGAAGTCAGTGCCTGTGCACAGGAGGTGCTGAATCTATATTTGTGGAAAAAGTCAATGATTGAATAAAAGGTTGATATTACAGAGAGGCAGGATACTACAATGTCAGAGAGATGGTCTCTCCAGCCAGCTGGCCTGGGTTCAAACCCCAGCTGTGCCACTGCATAGCTGTGTGTCCTTGGACAAGTTCATAACCTCTCTGTGCCTCAATGATCCCCACCTGACAAGGCTGTTGCAAAGCTGTAATGAATTACTTCATGTACAGCAGATAGTACTGTCTCTATAGTTAGTATATAATAAATATCAGCCATTATTATTACCCACATTTATACCACTGCACACAGGTTCATCAACTTGCCCTGCTGACCCAGGTCAGATGTGCTTTTCACGGATCATGTGCTTTTCATTCCTCTCGCAGCCTCCCTTGGACATTGAAAGAGATGTTTTCTTTCCATTCTGGTTTTCTCAGAAACAGTATTTCAGTTTCCCTATTCAGATCTATGTTCTGATTGAGATTAAATATAGGCCAACCTTGTCCCAGATCCTCCTGCCAGATCTTCGTTACAGCTGCCTCTCCTGGGGACCTGCCGACCTCCCCACAGCCCTCCCCATCGAGCCCCCACCCAGGTGAGAGCTGAGCCAGAGGAGCCTGTCCCCTCTGCCTGCCCGCCTGGTCACCACTTGACTGGCTGCGGCCACTGCAGGTCTTTGCACACTCGAGTGGGAAGCCCCGGTGGGTTCCTCTGCACGTCTTTGCTTTCCCTAAACCCCTTGTAGTGGTAACAATAACACAGCAACCAGCACCGGCTGAGTGCTTGGCGTGTGCTGAGCGCTTCACTTCATTTCATTCTCAACACCCCCACCCCCAACTTAAGGCACTCCGGCTTGGGTGCTGGAGCCAGACAGCTTGGACTTGGTTCCTGGCTCTGTCACTTTCTAGCCCTATAACCTGGGACAGGTTACACGGACTTTCTCTTTTACAGCTGTAAAATGGGGCTAACAACGGGACCTACCCCACAAGGTTCTTGTGAGGGTTGGATGATTAATATCTATAAAGAGCTTAGAATAGTGCCTGGTACATGCTTAGCAAGATAGACATGTTAGCTTGGAAAAATTAATTGAAAAAATACGCTGCTATTCCCATTTTATAGTTTGGAGAGGGACCTGCCCAAAGCCAGGCGCTCACGGGCTGCAGAGTGAGGAGAGGACCCCAGGCAGGCTGAGGCCCCACCCCACGCTGCTCCACAGTGCTCCCTGGAGTCCCGAGTGGTGCCGGGGCCTGACCACAGCTTTGTCCCCGCCCCAGCTTCCCATGGGAGCCCCACGCTGAGTGCTTGAGGCTGGTCTCACCTGATGTTCCCCAGTGTGGCAATGATGAGCCCCAGGGCCAGCCCGTGGGCCAGGGCTGGCTGCAGCAGCCCAGTGTCCGGCCCATTCTCGATGACAGACAGACAGCCGATGAAGATGAAGAGGGCAGAGCCCAGAAGCTCAGCCAGGCAGGGTTGCACCAGCCGCTCGTACCAGGACACACGCCACCTGTCACCCACGCTCGGCTCCTTCACCTTGACGTTGCCAAAGTTAGAGTCACACATAGCTACCTGCCGCAGGGAAAAAGGACAGTGGTCATGGGTGGCAGGAGAGCCCAGACAGGAGGCCCCGACCCCTAACCTTGAATTCCTTCGCAGCCACCTCTTGCTCTGCCAGGCTGCAGAGGAAGAAGCGGCAGTGGGCTCACCTCTCCAGACATCAGGACAGGATGGCACAAGCCCTGGGCTCTTGCCTGAGCTGCTGGGAAACCCGCACCTGTTGTTCTCGGCACTCTTGTCTCCGACACAGGACCTGCTTGTCCCACTACAGGCTCTGCCCCTTTTAAAGGGCTGCAGAAGCTCACTGACAGTGCTCAGAAGCCAATAAAGTCCAAGTGGGAGGTGGCCCTGAGGCCAGAAGAAGAAAGTTTTTTTTATCTCACCAGGGCAGGGCTGGGGTGGAGAGTCGAGGATTGCTGAGCTTCCTGCCAACCAGGGAAAAGGCGCTGGCTTGGCTACATCACCTGGACAGGACGCCCAGACCCTGCACCCCAGCCCCCCACAGTCCAAAGGACGCCAGCACGTGTCAAGGGGCATGCAGAGAGCCTCATTGCGTTGGGACTTCACAGGTTAAGAAACGGCAAAGTCATGTTTGATTGTTTTTCTCTGGATGCCCACAGGCATCTCCTTTTACCTGAGGCCCCAACACCTGCCCTCATGCTGATGGCCTGACTCAGGACCCAGTGGCAGAAGATGATCCCCCACTGGGTGAAGCAGTACAGACTAGCAAAAGGCCACATGGTGCAGTGGTAAAACCTGTGCACTTTGGAAACCGGCTTCCTGGATTTAAATCCCAGATCTGCTGTGAACCAGCACGTGCCTCAACCTCCCTGCATGTTCGTTTTCTCCTGTGTCAAGTGTGGGTGGTAGTGACAGTAGCCATGTCACAGGGTCGTTGTGCAATTTGGATGGGTTAATATATGTGAAGTGCTCAGGGCAGTGCCAGATGCCAGCAATAAGCATAATACCAGTGTCCATTAATTTAGAATGTTTACTTAGGGCCAGCTGTGATATCTCGTGCCTGTAATGCCAGCACTTTGGGAGCCCAGGCTAGGAGGATCACTTTGGGCCAAGAATTTAAGACCAGCATGGGCAACATAGTGAGATCCTGACTCTACAAAATATAAAATATTAGCTAGGCATGGTGGCACATGCCTATAGTCCCAGCTACTCCAGGACTGAAGTGGATCACTTGAGCCCAGGAGTTTGAGGTTATGGTGAGCTATGATTATGCCACTGCACTCCAACCCAGGCAATAGAGTGAGACTCAGTCTGTAAGAAATATATATATATAAATAAAAATAGAAAATATAACTAGATATAACTAATATTTATTGAGCATGTTCTATGTGCCAGGCACTGGGCTAACTACCTTATATACAGTATCTCATTTAAACCTCACAACAAATATGATGCAGGTACTATTATTACAATTTTATAGATGAGGAAGTGGAGTTTCAGGGAGGTTGAGTTTCCCTGTATTATACAGCTTATGTGGTCATAAAACTTGTGGGCTGTCACAAAAGGACAGACACTGTATAAGATTCCACTTATATGAAACACCTGTACTAGTCTAATTCATAGACACAGAAGGCAGAATGGTGGTTCCCAGGGGTTGGGGAGAAGGGAGAAAGATAAGTTAGTGTTTAACAGGTACAGATTTTCTGTTTGGGAGGATGAAGAGGTTCTGGAGATGGATGATGGAGATAGTTGCATAACAGTGTGAATGTTCTTAATGTAACTGAACTGTACACTTAGAAATCATTAAAATTGTAAATTTTATATGATTTGTATTTTACCACAATTGGGAAAAAAACCTCACAATGTATGCCACTGCTGCCTTTCTAAAATGGATGGATGGATGGATGGATGAATGGATAGATGGGTGGAAGGAAAAAGAGAAGAAAGAAAGGAAGGAAGGTGGTGAGAGGGAGAGAGGGAGGAAAAGTACATGGGCTGGGTTTCCTTATTCCTTTACTTACCATATGTGTAAATAACTGCAGTGAGCCAGTCACTCTGCTACGGGCTGGGTGGAGAGATGTGGCATGAACAGGATGGGCAAGGATTCTGCTCTGTGCTCAGAGCCATGTCCGTGTGTTTGTATGTATAGCTAGAGACAGAGAAATAAGGAAGGAGATAAAGGAATTTTAATGATCATTTCTACCATTACTGACCATTCACTACATCTCCAACACTGTGCTAAGCACTCTGCAGATCTTCACAGCAACCCTATGAAATAAGTTCCATTATTATTTCTTCTTCTTCTTCTTTTTTTTTTTTTTGAGGCAGGGTCTCACTCTGTCACCCCTGCTAAAGTGTAGTAGCTTCATCATAGCTCACTGCAATCTCAACGTACTTGGGCTCAAGCGATGCTCCTGCCTCAGCCTCCTGAGTAGTTGGGACTACAGGTGCACACCACCATGCCCGGCTAATTATTCTGTTTTTTTGGTAGAGACAGAGTCTTGCCCTTGCTCAGGCCAGAAGTCCCATCACTTCTTATATCCGTCTTCAGATAATAAAAATGAGGCACAAAGAAGTGAAAGAACTGGCCTATGATTGTACAGATGAAAAGTATCCGCTTCGGGACAGAAGTGGATACATGTGGACAAGGCAGGACAACTTGTTGACAGGACTTGTCAGCTCAAGGCCCAAGAATCCAAGGCCTGCGTTGAACAAATCTTACTCCAAAAGTTCTCAGGATCTGCTTTCTTCTTCGTTATCTTTAGCTTTGTCCTCTCCCTCTTCCGTGTCCTACAGCACATTGTACAAGATGTTTCTAGACCTCCTTCGTGTTCCTGTAAATAGCAACATAAGCTATTTGATAGCCGAGCAGTAACTATAATCAACAACAAGTTAGGCTATATTCTAAAATAACTGAAAGAGTGGAATTGGAACATTCCTAACACAAGAAATGTTAAATGCCTGAGGTGATGGACACCCCAATTACCCTGATTTGATTAATTCACATTGTATGCCTATATCAAAACATCACATGCGCCCTATAAAGATATACAACTATTATGTACACATAATTAAAAATAAAAAAATTAAAAAATCAATAATAAAAAAATAGCAACATAGGACAGTCGTCCAACTCTCAGCTTCTCCATTTCCCTCATTCCTTGCTGAATTCCTGCCAGTGCTGCTTTGGGGGCGACACCATGGGATCATCCTTGCAGATGGCGGGGGAGGATAATTCTCTCCTGTTTTCACCCAGGCCTTCGTCAGGGCTTGCTTAGTCCATTGAGAAACATCAAACTAACATTAATTGTACACCTGCCAGATGCTAGGCCCAGCACTGGGCACTTCAGACACATTCTCTCAATTCATACTTACAGTATCCTATTTTTAATCCATTTCACAGCAGGAACTCCCTGATGGAGTGGATTGCTACAGTAACTCCTCATCTGGTCTCCTTGCCTCACCCAACCTCCATCCATTCCTTTCACACGGGCAGGGTGCAGTTTGGCACTTGAGTCCAGGGGTTTGGGGTCAGGCTTCTCTGTCACCCTCTTACTGTCTGCTCTCTCAGCCTCAGTTTCCTCTTCTATAAAAGTGGGCTAATGGTGGTCCCCATCCCTGTGCAGATGAAATGAGACAATGCACTTAGCACATTGCCCAATTCAGAGCAAGTACCCAATAGATAGTAGTGCTTATTATGGTTTGTATTAGTCAGAGAAGGCTAATTGCTGTAACAAATAACCCCAACATTGCAAGGCCTCAGCATAAGAAAAATTGCTTCATTGCTCACAAAATAGTGCATAGCATGCTCTTCTCCAGATGGTGACTTGGGGACCCAGGCCACTTCCATCTTGGAGCTCCCCCATCTAGGTCCTCGGTTCTCCACCAAATGGTGAAAGAGACAATGTGGAGGGCTGTGCAGGAGATTATTATGGGATGGGCCTAGCACTGGTAAATATCCATTACCTCCCTATTTGCTGGTCTAGAACATAGTCACATGGCTTCACCTAACTGCAATTGATTCAGGGAGATGCAGTCTACTGTGTGCCCAGGAGGAAACGAAAGGCATTTTATGAATACTGTGCAATTTCTGCTGCACAGTAGTTATTCCCAAGACTGTAGATATAATCGAGTTTTTCCTGACTTCAAACCTTTCAGTATCTCTCATGGTCTCAGGATAAAAACATCCTCCCTTCGCTGGCCGTAAGTCCTAGCCCCAATTCATCTCATAAACCCAAAACACATTCTCAGATGGACCACGTGCCCTCACCTGCCCCTGTCCATACTGTTCTGTCTGTTTGGAGTCCTTGTTTGCCCTCTTGGCCAACTTCTACTCCTCATTGAAATCTCAGATCAGATATCTGATCTCCTCCCTGACTCCTGCTCAACTAGATGTTAGTCCTCTAGACAAGTCCCTCCCTTGCTAGAGGCAAGGTGGGATTCCATAGCTCCAAAACCAGTGGCTCTACAGTGAAAATATGAATGTCATTTAGGCAAAACAACGTATTTTCACTGCATGAGAATTTTTGCATGGCCTAATGTCCTCATACACAATGTACTGGTCTCCCCCAAACTACTATAAAGCCCAGTGGGCTAAGGAGATAGTGTCTTCCTAAGAATATCTTTGGCTGGCAAAACTTCTCCATCTTCAAGTTCCAGGTCTAGTTGACATGACCAAGGCCACTATTTTTTGTCCCTGTTTGGATGGCAACAGTTTAATATGTCTCTGCATCTATAGGCACCTGTCTGACATCCACCACCAAGTGCAGATGGAGAATGAAAGCAGGTCACATTTTACCCTTCCTTCCTTCCGTACATTGATGGCCGCAACGTCATGCAAAAATGTGACGCTGGTGCCATGACAGCCATCTTGAGACCATGAGGTACAACTTGCCAAAGGGTGGATCCTTGAGGATAATACCAAGCCACCAGACCAACTCTAAGACCACCTGCTCTACACTTCTTGTTAAATTAACCTACAGTTTCCAGATTGTGTGCCAGGGCACCCCAGGGAGCCACAGTGACCTCACAGAGGGGCTATGGATATTTTAAATTTTCAAGAGAAACACAGTGATGCTCAATATTTGTCAGAGATCATCTACTAGCTCAATAGTTTACTGTTCTAATATAAGATGGCCCTACATTCCTTTCAATGACTTTAGATCTTTGCAATGCTGGTTTTACAGCAGTTGCCTTGATAACACGCAAGTACTCGAAGAAAACCCACATGGAAGAGGAAATGAGGGTGGCAGTATCCAATCTGATTCCAAGGCCTGTGAAATTGTGCAGTGCCCCAAAGGCACACATGTTCCATGGTAAATAATTGCAGAGTTTAA